CCACCCCCACCCCCACCCCATGGACGAATGTAGCTTTCAACACCCCTACTGCCTAAAACGAAGCAAAAAAAATAGCAAAAACAAAAAAAAAATTAATAAACAGAAAAGGATCTTCAATTACCTGAGAAGAAGATCGTATTGGAGAATCCAAATGTGTAAAAGTTGAAGTAAAAGAAGCAACTTTATATGAAAAAGATTTTTTGGGGGTTTTTCTTTAGGCCAATTGAAGGGTTTAAGAGTGTTTTGTGAAAGAAAAAAAGCCCAAAAAAGTTTTATGTTTTGAAATTTACTTTAAATTATGTTATTTTTGTTATAAGTTTGTTGTTTTTGGTATGATTTGATTGCTTTTTTTAATACAAAAATAATCTATCTATCTTTTAGATAAGAATAAATTTCGCTTACGTTATATTATTTTATACCTCACTTTATAGTATTATACTACGTATGTTGTTGGTTGTGATGTTGTTGAGATTTACTTTGAATAAGAAAAAATATATGTTGATGTGTATTATTTGATCGTAATAAATAAACTTAATTGGATACTTATATTAGATGACACTCACTTTGTCTTCTTTTCTTTTGATGAAGTAAGTTGTTTCATTACCGACATTAAGAAGATGCAAGGAGTACAAAAGTAGATATGCTACTCACTTTGTTTTATTTACGTGTCTTAGTTTAACTGGACGTAAAATTTGAGATACGAAATTTTTAGTTTTTGTTCTTGAATTAAAATGTAGCACAATATTTGATATCACGAGATAAATCTGATATATGAGTGAAAAAAAGATAAAGAAGTGAATATTATAGTTCATTATTTTTCAAACTGTGTATCATTGATCGTCAAAAATTTCTCAATTATGAAAGAACTAATGACAATTTATGTTTTGGTTGTTGAACCATGCATTATTAATTCTAAAAAATTTCTCAATTATATATATATATATATAAAACTTTATGATACACTTTATTTTATTCCATGTTCGATACCGTATTTTTTCATTTATAAAAAAACTTATGACATAATTTATTTTCAATTTTCCATCCAATATCCAATACACATTTTGTTTGGTCGTTCTTGCTTAGGACCATCACAATAGCTGGTTCTGTTTTGCAAGAGAGAGATGAAGCACATAATTAGTCTCACTGAGCATGCCAAAATTTGATTGCAGGAAAAGTTTGAGTACAACATATGTATTGTTAGAAATCTAATTCCACGTATCGAAAAGTAGAAAGTCATGTTAGGGTTCGTAAAATACATTATTTATTAAGTTCACTCCTTAGGTTTTTCACTATTAATACTGGTTGCACACGAGTGAATGTTTCTCACCTCATGAGAGATTAATATTATTTTTATATATTCTGATAAGTATAATAGTATTTGAGAGAGTGTTTCTTTCACGATATAAATGTTATTTTGATTTTGCATGGAGAACTAATTTAAATGATTTACTCGATGAAAGAAAATGATACTATATCTAACAAAAACTACATGAACAAGCTATCTCTAGGAAAGCTATGGTGATCATCCAATAGGTACTACAAAAAAAAAACATATATTATTTACATATAGATCAATTTTATCATGCTGACTATTCGTAAAGTAGCACATACTTTCAATTACTACTATCAAACTTAAGAATATCCTTTTCAAATAGCTCGAAGTAATTCTCAGGCTCAATCCAATTTTCATTAATAAAACTGTTATTTATGCAAGATCCATTACATATGACTCTACTCGCTTCAATTTTTAGTTTTCTTAAAATTCGAATCTAAAACCTCCAATTGAATATCATAACTAGTTCTTGTTAATAACAAAAGACATTTTGATTAAAAAAAAAACTTAATTAATTAATGTAGCATGCCAAAATTGACTTTTCAAGTTGTCACAAACAAATTAATTATTCCCTTGTGGGAACCTATTTTTCCCAAGCCACATAAAATAAATATTCATAAACTAGAAAAATAATTACAAAAATTGTGGAAGTTGAGTTATTGAGATTTTTCTGTTTTTCTTTTCTTCATTTGGTTTCAATTTAATTAGTTGAATAATTCTACTTCTTCTTCTCCTCTCTATTTTCTTCCTTTTTTCCAATTTCTCTTTTCTTCTCGACGATCGCCGGAGATTCAATCGGAAAATTCACCAACTGTTTATGGATTGCAGAAGCAGATCCCTATCAGCATCGCCGTCCGCCGTCTCCGCCTCCGTCAACAACCAATATCCGATTCTTCAGTTTTCATCTCAACTCTCTAATCCTTCATACACTCCTTTCACCCCGTGGATACGATACCTCCGGTTCAGCTTTTCCTGATTTGTCTTTCAATTTATTGTATTCGAAGAGAACTCCAGAAGGTATATTGACGATTTTACCCTTGATTCCTTCTTACATATGTTTACTAAGAACTGTTTTTCTTAAACTATTAGCTGAAGGTTGGATTTTTACTGCTTTATAAAAAAAAGGAAAAATTGGAGTTTAGCTGTTTCTGAATGGTGTTAAGGTTTTGTATGTTGTAGGAATTCCTTTATTTTATAACTGTGTTGTTTGGACCAGCTTGTGCACACCTAGACTACGGATACCCCATCGACAACATGTACCATAAGTAACCTAGAACAAATAGAAAGCAATCACCTTGTGTTTAGTTTCTGGAATTGAATCTGCGACCTTGTCGTGCTCAATTCACTCCATTGACCACTAAGCCACACCGTTAGGTTAAGCTGTAGGAAATTATTAGTTTAGTGAAGCTGATAACTATTGGACATTAAGGCTTTGATTAGGAACATATATTACGCTCTCCGATTACTTTTACTTGTCTACTATTCCAAAAATTGTTTTTCACTTTTATTTGGCACTTTTTAACCTATATTGCTTGGACTTTCCAAAAATGCAGCCGCACCCGTGTTGGATCCTGTAAAAATGGGATCTGACATGCACCCAGTGACATGTTTGAAGAGTCCGAGCAACATAGCTTTTAACATATTGAGAAAAGACAAAAAAATTTCATGTTTTACCCTTAGCGTTAATCACTTATTCCCCAAATTATTTTTCAAAACCTTAATACTAAACATCAATTAAAATGGGCATTATGGTAAAGTACTCATATCAATCATTGTTTCTTAAGAAACTTGTAAGGTCTTAAAAGTGGACAAGTAAAAGTGAATGAAGGGAGTAATTGATATTTTCCTTAAGTTTAGCTAAAGTTTGGATTTTTACTGCTAAAAAAAAAGGTTGGATGTTTACTGTTTCTGAATGATTGCTAAGGAATTGAAGTCCTTAGAGATTAGAAATCTTATTGCAGGACATGAAAGTTTTGAACAGGAATACAAAGTTGTTTGTAGTTCTCCTAAAAATGACCTTACGGTTGGATTTTTACTACTTTTCAAAAAAAAAAAAGAGTAGAAAGGTAGAGATGGTTGGATTTTACAGCTTCTGAGTGACGCAAACGTTTTGAGTTGTTAAAAAAAATTAATTTTACTGAAGGTGACTGTAGTAGGACATGAAGATTTCGAACAGGAATATATGTTAATTGTAGTTTTCCTAAATTTGTAGCTAAAGGTTGGATTTTACAGCTTCTGAGTGATGCAAAGGTTTTGAGTTGGTTAGAAAATTAAATTTACTGAAGGTGATTATTGTACGGCGTCAAGATTTTGAACAGGAATATATGTTAATTATAGTTTTCCTAAATTTTTAGCTTAAGGTTGGATTTTCTGCTTCTGAATGCTGCAAAGAGTTTGAAAATGTAGAAAGTTCATGTTTTTACTAAGGTGATTATTGTAGGAGATAAGCCTTGTAAAAAATGTATTTTACTTTTATGTACAAGTGGAGAGGTAACTACCGTACCGCTTTAAACTGAATTTTCTGTTCTTCAAGTATGGTTGTAGAACTTAGATATACAATACAAAGTTTTAATTGGATTGATTTGCATCGCGGTAACTGATCAAAAGGTCACAAGGGGAAGTCCTAGTGGTTGAGGTAGGGACTAACAACCTAGAGATTTCAAGTTTGAATCCTAGCCTGAGTTCACCTGATCTAACCTCGGTGAGCATGATCACGTCAAAAACCTATGCTTGTCGGTTGGACAGGCTGTTTATAGAATTAATCATGTGGGCATAAGCTAGCCGCGACACCATAGATATTAAAAAGGAAAAAAATTGTAGACTGATCTTAAGTGGAGAGCTTATGATAGTTGGTAGTCTAGAATGAACCTTCATAGTTAAACATTATTTTTCAACCAGCCTTATTGCTTGTATTATCTTTCATTTGAAATTTGATGTTGGAATTTTTGTGCAGTTTAAACTCTTTCAAGCTATCATTTTTTTCAAAATCCGGAGCCAAAACTTAAACTTGAATTAAGGAGACACTTATTAAATTATAGCCAAGAAGAGGTGGTGGTGTGGCACTTAAAATGATTTAAGTGCTTTCCATGTCAACTTAAGATGGCTGCTTCTACGAGTGTGACAAGTCCTCTACATAAGAAG